CAGTGCTACCATCATGACGAACTTGGCCTTGGTACTTTAGCATATATTTTGTCATACTTTTGATTCATTGAGTGGATGTAATTATGCGAAAGCCTATAAGTTAGGAAAATGATCATTTTAGTTGGGTTTATTAAAAGAAATGGGCATTAATTTTGCCAAATTTAGGAGTCGTCTCATACAGAAGAATTCTGTATGCTATTATGTAAGGCAGAACCAAACTCCTTATAAATGTTGATTATACTATGAAGGAACTGCAAAATAAGTAAATCAGTTATATAAGATATCTGTTTTCGGAACCGGAAAATTTTGTGGGAAATTTTTCAGCCTTAAATGAAGCCAAGTTGAAGGAATCGCAATTATTATCAGGAAAGTGGAACTACTTAATTTTAAGAAAATATTTTTAGCTATCTTGTGCGATTTATTTCGCAAATAATGAATTAAAATAAGTTTCATCGCATTTTGGTTTAACCGCACCGCTTACCTTGGCGAATTATCAAAGCATCCGCATATTTTACTGCAAAAGTAATGCAAAACGAGCCTTGTTACATGAAAGTCATGCAGATATGTACTTTTTTAAGTATACGCGTCGCTTGTGCGTATTTAAGAAACGGAAGCTTCAGAAGAATAATAATCATTTCAAAAATGGCGATATATATTAACACTCTTTTTTTCATAAGGAAGCTTTATGAGATCATAGAAATAGTCAACTATGGCGGAAAATAATCCATTATAAAGATAAAAATCAGTTCTTACATGTCTAGTCAATGTGAGTCGCCTATCATCAGGTAGATTATAAAAAATTTTCGCCGAAATTTGTCAGCTTTCCACCTTCCCAGCAGCCAACGCCCGTGTACCTTTTGTAGACTTCTCGCATACTCTACGGAGAGATTAAGGACAACCCGCCAGCGCAGACCATATCTTTTTGCGTAAGCTCATTTGCCTGCTTCTGTGCCGCAGGTTATATTGGTCGCACGAGCCGGTATTTGTCCAAAAGACTATGAGAACACATTCCAGCATGGTTAGGAAAGGGCCAACTAAAGGGTATAAACAATTCCATTCTAGCACGCCTGATAGACTCAGACAATCGCTTGGATGCCAAAGGAGCCTTCCAGATGATTTGCAAGTCACAATCAAATTATTCAAAATTTCTTGAAAAGCATCTGTTGCCTGCGGCAGAAGCGGCCGCCATCAGGCTACGATGACTGGTCCTGTGCGCTCAAAAGTTCTTCGTCGCGGCGCTCCAGTTACCAAGGGTAAAAGCTGCTAATCCAACAACCAGCAGCTTATCACCTCGGCCGACTTGCGGTCCTCCCTAACGCTGATGAGATTTTGACGTCGATTCCTTTCGCCTTGCCCCTTCCTGAAAACTGTACTATATTTTTCTACCAACCCGCATAGTTTTTTTTCTTAATTACCGTATAAATGTAAGGGCCTGACGAAAATTTATCGAAAACGAAACATTTTTTTCTAAAGAAAATTTATTTTTATATTTAAAAAATGGTTACGTAAACTTTTCAGATAAATAAAATATTTATTGTTCTAAATTATAGCTCTTTTTGCGTTTCCGGAGCTTGGAGATTATCGGAAAATTTTTGTTTTTCTTAGCAAACACTTAGCACTTCTTATACATCTTTTATGTTTAAAATATAACCTAATGCTGTTTATTATTATTTCTATGTTTTTTAAATACCTTCAGAACCAAGTGCCAGCAATGATCGTTCCTATACAAATTTATGAAAGTTGCACGGTCTATAGCACATACTGGATATACCAAGCTTTCGCGAAAAATGCTTATCTTCTGCCCCTCGGTTTCTCAAATGCGCATTAGTGGTAACCATATTATACATAACGTATATTTTCCCATACTTTAAATGTTATACGAAGCTTTAGTGTCCATCTCCACGTTAAAATATATGCATTCTGTTTACATTCTCAATATTCCCTGTGGTAAAATAGAGTAGAGTCAAATACATTTGTTACAGGGTCTTGCGTCAAAAATAATTTCTTAAGATGACATCGTTCCTTGTTTCTGAAAAATAATATGAGTCGTTACATCTGCTTTCCTTATCTACCTTGACTTGCGATCGTCTTATCCAGTTCCATATACGTTTCTCGCAACATTTCCTCTTTATATAAAATCCGCTCTCATAGCACAATTAAAAAAGCAATAGGTTATGTTGTCCCATAATAATTGACTAAGGAAACTTCTCGGATACCCAACAACGTCCGACTGCACCCATGCCCTGCATGCTTCCCCTAAATATACAACACTAAGATTAATTTTGTTTTATGTAAAGGCGTTCTGAGCCTAAACACTAAATTATTTAGTCAAACTTCATCGGCAAATGTATGAGAAATTACTCATTCATATGTCTATCATGACATTGCATGAGGTACGTCATAGACTGTCTCCCAGTTTTACTTGTAAAGTGAACGTAATAAGCATGCGGTTGCTAGTCCTGGACAGTTTTCTAGTGTATGTAAGAGGGAAGTCGGCGGAAGATAATGGCTAATATGTAGACATTCATTTACGTAGTTCGTCGTACATAACACGACATAAGCCCTGTCTGAGTTTCTCAATAGCCAATATTAAGCATAACCTAGGTAGAAGAAAAGCCTTTTCTATCAAAGTCTGAATTGCAGACCGGAAATCATCTTTATGTATGTTGTTTGTAGTGTTGTCCCACGTATCTCATAGACGAGGTCCCGCCCCAAATGAGGACATATAAAATAGGTAGAGGTCCTTTGTTTTGCGCTTGTCAGCCACTGCGCCCATGTCCAGCTGTAGTCATTTTGTATTTTATCTGTTGATTGGAGAAATGCAAATGCTAGACAGAAAATAGGGCCGGTATATGTAACCGTTAACTCTCCTTAAAGCCATTCACATGCAAACTATCCGTGCGACAATACACTAGTCACTGTAAAACAACCTCGTCTAAGGTGGTCAAAACATCACCTCAAATTGCTTTGAGGCAAACTTCAGTAGTGCTTTCTCTGAAATAGGAGAGAGTAGCATAAAAAGCGGTTATTAACTCTTGACAAACTCAGATTTAAAGACCTTGGACTTTGATAGTTTATCTTTCTTTGCACAGATAGCCGTAACGATTTTGCCGGCATGATCGTTAGGTTTAATTCTCGAAACATGCGTTATAGACATTTCTCAAAGCTGGTGGCGTATAACCCCTTATTTTTCTTTCGAGTTCCCATTGTCTTATTTGGTAATGTTCGGCATTTATCTCTAGCAGCCGTGCAGCCCTTGTCGAAACTTGGCAATGATCTCAAAGCACAACGGGAAGAGGGTGATTCCGAAAACGAGTTGAGGGTGCCCCATTACCATTGTTAGTACGGCCCATTAGAACCCACAGGTCAACGAACCCATGGCTCAATGTTTTTTGCGTTGTACTTGGGATCAGCAGGTCGCAAATTCGACTATGATGCGGTGCAACAGATGGGGTTGACTATGGCTGACTCTTAGCGAGAGAGATCTACAAAAGGGTAATTCCTGTATTCCTTTTAAATTTTTTTGGCAGTACTTCTTCTTATATCACACAAAACTAAAGTCAGCCTAATGTTTGAGTAACCACGTTCTTACAGAGGAAAGGAAGACGCGATCGCTAGTTTCAGAATTTTAATTGCTTGAATTTTTAACCCGCCATCACAGGTAGTATTAGATGCCAGTATTGCATACACAAGAAGTTGCAGTATTTAACAGACGCAGTTGCTTTGCAACGGCATGCATATGACTGTTAATGGCTCCCCATTCATCGAGGATGGTTGCCCTCCACTGCGCTAATGGTCTGCTTTGGACGTGACTTGCCACCAGGCAGCAGCAGTGTGTAGTTATGGTACCGAGTTTTAAGTAATGTGAGTTGATAAACGCGTGGGCATGGAGGCGCCTGAGTGATTATTTACGTGTCACCTGTGTTATGACCTACGCACTCCATATTCGGTCCTTATACTTATATTAGCCAATTTACTTCGCCCGGTGATGAACACACACGCAAACACATCTTCCCATGCAAAGGTCGGTGAACCAGGAGGCCGAGCAATTATCCTGCCAACCTCCAACACGAGTGACTACGGTTCAGCAAGTAACGACCTGCATGGCCGGCCATCAAGCAATTAGCCCTCCAAAAGGCAGTCGTCATAAATGAAGGGACCACCTGCTAACTGTCTAAGGTATAAGGTTGAAGTAGGCGCGCACTCTATCAATACTGTAACTCCCTGTTTAAGAACAACACGTTATTCACGCTGTCTCCGATGGTGGGATCGAGAGTGAATTGCGTCTACGTTGTCTCAAGTACATCTTGGGATCCGTTTTTTTGTTAATACGCTCCTACTCAATGCAAAGCTAGTGAAATTTTAAGGCGATACTCTTTTAATCAATATTAGCCCACGGAGGTTTTCCAAATTTTGTTAGTTGAAGTGAACTCTGCACAAAATTCTGAAGCCGCGAGATAAAGATGGCTGACCAAATTTGTTTCTTCTTTTTAAAATTGCAATTTTGAATGCCGCGCAATCTACGTAATCACATGTTCCAGTAAAACTCAAAACGCGTTTTCAGTCGCTCAACTGAAATGCCTTTTATGTACAATTAGGGTTTAAATTTTATCCATTTTATGATGTTGCTTCTAAGAAATTAAAACTTTTTCCAAATTATATTCATAATTTGTTGACGTACATTGTAGAAAAACGCCGAAACGACTGTTCACAAGAAAGTCTGTGCAAAATTACCCAAAAAACTGGAAGGTGATTCTTGAAAAATATCCTTAACCAGAAACAAAGTAAAAGGCCTATCACAGTTCAATACTTGGAAAAAGTTAACACGTTAACACGAATTGAGCATTGGTTGGTGTAAAAGAGTATGGTGTCATGGCGGAGACTTTAAACGTTCACCAACCAGTCGAGCACAAGAAGATGCCCCATTTTTTACTAATGGTGACTGGGCTGAGTTTGCAGAAAGACTTTCGATTTCCTAAATGTAGCCAAAATCACAGTTTCTACACTAACTCGTGGAAGAGTTTCTTAAAGTCCGCACTCTTCTGCAGACTTGCAGACTTTTTCAAGACTTCTGGTTCGGGAAATCCATAGTTTGGGGGCATGCCCACTTCGCTGTAGCCAAACTCCCTGAGCATAGGTAGACTTTGCATTTCCCGCAATAGCTCAGGTGTCATCACCGCTTTGTCCTTTGCCCAGTCTGTTAAAGCGTTTGTGTAAATGGGATAGACAACTTGATTTGTGCTCTTTTCTTTCCTAAAATGACAAAATGATTGGCATGAGACAAATGAATATATTTTGTTTTTGTGCAGGTGATAGGATACGAGTACAATGAAGACATCTGACACATTCGCGGATGATTATGTTCCACTATGTACCAAGCGGGTTAAAATGCCATGTCTTTGTTCAATTACGCTGCTTAATGTAAGCTGTAAAAGAACTCCACGTGTAGTGTGCAATTCACGGCATAAGTTGGACTGGGATTTTGCTTTTATTCACAGGATACGGAACAGTACGGTGAAATAAATGTGTGCGATTCAATTAGACAAATATGTGTAACATCGTGCTGCTCAGTTTACATTTAATGGTAATTTTTGCTATGAAACTCTTGCAGGATTCTAAAAGTCAATATAAAGTATGAATTTATGCCTCGCAGGAGTCGCATCGTCCGTAAAGGGCAGTCGCGAATGTGACACGACGCTAAAGTGCTCACTTATTGTCCATATTTTCTTTTAAAGTAAAATATATTATATGTAAAGTTTTCACATTAGTGTTTTCTTTTTACGCCTTTACAAGAACATAATGCCTTCTTCAAAATTTACGGTTCAAGAACTCAAATCTTTCATTTAAAATGTTTTTTTTTCACATGCTATTTCTAAGGCTGTAAAATCCTCAGTATTAAAAATAAAACTTTTTGTATTCGGTCAATAACATTCTGAGTTAATTAAAATATATTGAGATAAGGGCGCAGATTAATGAATATTACAAGCCTGCTTAGATAAATTTTGTCCAATTAAAAATAAATTTCGGAATTCAGGTTGAAGTTCCATGAGATAGAGAATCTACTGTACGATGCAGTAAATAATCATAAATGTTCAATATTAGATTTCATTTTTCCAGAGGATTATAAGATCGGTTACTGCGTAACGAGACCTTAAGGCAGTCTGAATCTATGTGCAGCAAAGTTCAGACTACATCTAAATCCAATTCATGACTTTCAGAACAAAAGGAGCAAAGTTGGAATGTTGATGGTATCGTAAAAAGCAGATACATTTCAGATTTATGTAACATACTATACACAGAAATATGTTTTCGTTTTTAAAACGGCTAACAGCTTACTTCACGAGGACAAGGTCATCAACGCTTTTTTCGTGATTGAGTACGACTTCATCCCAAGGAAGGTTTAGAAATTCTGAAAGTGAAAATGCATTATGAGTCCATACCGGTATCAAAATAAATTATCCACGTAACAGTGGGCAGACCTCATGATCCTTTTTTGTGCCATCGTTTCCTTGTTAAATCTGCGGATGAATTACGTTAAATTGAAAGGCTCTTCAGTAAGCGCCAGTCAGATGGGACTATAGAAACATAATTTTGACCCTTTTGCACCCAATACAATCCCGTCTGTATTTATAGAGCGTCGAACGTGAGATTAGAAAGAATACTTCATAAAATTGTAGTTTTATCTGAATAACGATTATGGGTCTGTTGTCCGTTAGTTGTAAGTAACCCTGGAGTGATAACAGTTAAAGTCCTAATAATAACAAGCTCGTGGTAAATCATATGGCCGATTGCTGGGGTTTACAGATATTTTTAGCCGTTGTGTGCATTGCGTTTTTTCCTGATGTTTTTTAGCGTATGCCTGCATTACAAATATATTGCTGTTTACTTTTCATGGGTAGAATAAATATATAGGCCAGATAGCGCTTTCCTTTAAGAATACCATGACGTTTTTTATTCAGGAAAAGTGGCCGGATATTGACAATTTTTATCTAAAACTGACATTAAGTTATGTTGCTCGTTCCTTTTCTTAGCATCGCAGCGTTTTCTTAGCTTCATGATCATTCTCGTTGGCTACTTCTCATACTGTGGGGTGAGTGCTGTATGCAAAAGTCATGACAGAACTTAACTTGGTAGTTAAGCATGCAGTAAGTTACGTTATTTTGATTGTTCGAATGGATTTAATCCTACGAAAGCCTTTCAGTTAGGGAAATCTCCCTTTTAGTTAAGTTTACTCAGGGTAACTTGGGTGAATTTTGCCGAAATTGGGAATCTTCTCATATCGAAGGAACTTTCTATGGTACTAAGTACGAAGGAAACATTGTTATAAATATGCATTACTATATAGAAGAATTCCAAAAATTTTAGATTTAAGTGAGGCTAAAGAAGACATAGTTAGGCAAAGTTCAAAAAGGAGGAACGAGTTATGTTTTAAAAATTACCTATAGATAGCGTGTGCCGTTTTGTTTTTCCCCAAAATGCATTAACGGAAAATTTTTGGTCGCATTTTGTTTAACCGCATCGCCTAGCTGGCAAATAACTAAAGTTTTTTAGTAGTATTCCGGCATAGACAGGCAACGTAGTATAGCTATTTCGGGCTGTTGACCCCCATCAA